CAATTTTCTTGCCATTGGCACACAAGATCTACACGAAACACTGAAAGGCACCGCAAAGCTATTCAATCATACAAATGACCTCAACCGGCACTTCAATGTTTACAATCAAATTGATAAATTAACAAATAATGCTCAAATTTTAGCACGTAAGTTGGAGACTACCGAATTATGAGAGACAACCAATGTTAAGAAATAGGTTGTAATACTATTTTATTTTTGTAAATAAAATGGAGTCTTTATATGGAAATGTTTCTGTTTCAATGTTTGCTTACAATACAGCGACTTATACGACTTAATATCTGAAATATCTTGAAATATCTAGTATAAGAATCTTTTGATGAGATTAGCTGTCAAAATACAAAAACATCGCAAATTAATCCACCTAACCCTTTATATGACCACTTAACAGATGCTTCATTCCATATATTAGTAGAGGTAAGGTACGATAGATAACTTCATCGAAATAGACAGATGGATTTAAAATCTGGCGTACAATCGCTATTCTCTAATTTTGAGATCCGAAGACCTTAACTCCTGTTTAAGCAAACGCATTCAATAAGCTTTGGAACCAAAATCGTTACCAAGTCAAAACTATTTAATACTTTCTTGTAAACTTAAGCGCATTTGTATAAGTGGGGAGGGTTCGATGCTAATAACGTTTTTTTTCACAAAAATTTTGCATTTAAACAACTCTGTGCAGGAGCTGTCAAAGTTACGTGTTCTTTTCTCAAAGTATTGGCTTTTAAACAGGCAAAAGAGCAACATTTTCTACCCTCTCAAAACGTAACAGTGTCGGTTGCCCCGTGAATTTTCATTTATGGTTTCTAAAAAGTTTCAAAGTATTTTAAGTTAAGTAAAATTAAAAGTATTAAATAATTATTTTATAATTAGATTCGTAAATTACAGTTTAAAAAATGTATTATATTTGATACATATACTAATTATGAATGGCTGGTCAGTTGTCTCCGAGCAACTGGAGAGTCAGAACAAACATTTTCGAGTGACGTGTTTCTGTGAGTGGTGCGAGTCGAAAATGCAGTTTCGTTAGAGCAGAGGGACGCGATTAAATTCTGTGTGAAACTCGGTAAATCTACGCCAGAGACGTTTGATTTGATTAAGCAGGCTTACCCAGATGTTGCTTTAGCAATAAGTGGTGTGTTAGAGGCAATCTTCCGAATGGCACACGCCGGCGTCTCCTCCCCCAAAAAAGGGAAGAATGGGCAAATCCAAAGTGAAAACGATGTTCATTGTCTTTTTTGACATCAAATGCATCGGTCACCATGATTTTGTTCCCTCAACTCTCAACGCCAAACCTTACGTTAGTCAAAAGACTCAAACGAAGGGTCAATCGGGACATCGCAGCCGGTTGAAAGTTACGCCACGGCAACACCCCGACTCACACCGCCTTTCTTGTGAACAGCTACCCAACCAAGGCCGGTATCCCAACGCCCAAACGTGGTCCCGGACTCTTTTTGTTTCCTTGCCTGAAAAGGCCGATGAAAGGCAAGCATTTTGAGACGAGAGAGGGGATCCAAGCAGTACGCACCTCGGCTTTCAAGTCTATTCCGGAGAATGGCTTTCGTGACGACTTCAATCCTTGGAAATCGCGCTGACAGCGCTTTATCGAAGCAGGAGGAGCATATTTTGAAAGTTTTTAAAGAATTTTAACGATTGGTTCCATAAATTTTTTTTAAATCGACTCAGACCTGTTACTTTCCGGACAAACCCTGTATAATGAGGCAACATTTTCCGGCGAGAAAATAAGCAATATTATTTTTACATAATTCTACCATTCTTTTAACCTTTATATATCTTTAAGTTTCCTTTTCTCAATCGCACACAATTTAATAATTAATCAAAAAATATTTATGTTTTGGTTTTTTGTTTATTTTTATTTTCTAAAAAATTCTTTTTTTCTTCAGATTATTCAGTTTTTGTTAAAAATTTTATTTTAATCGTACAAAAATAAATCACAAATGCAGAAATTACGAAAGAAAGTTACATAATATGTAATTTAAGAATGTATGCGTGCATTTAAATGTGAACACAAATTTAACACTTTATGTTGCAGCACACGGCATACAAGTCGTATGTAACGATTTCTTTCGCTATTAACTACATACATAAAGAGCTCATTCTTCCGATGTAATTTACATACTTCGTTAATTTTTACTGTTACGTTTTGCTTGTATATGTCGGTTTACTTTTGATGCAGCAATAATTTCATTTATATAGTATTAAATAAAAATAGCTGTTATTATTTCTATATACTATTCATTTACAAGTATGGTATATATATGGATATATACATATATGCAAATCTGTATGCATGCATGAACTTATATGTATGTATGTGTAATTCAATGCGGTTAAATTACATATTCTTATATAATGTCTAGAAAATAAGTTTTTATTAAGTTTATGTTAATAAAAGCTATGTTATAACAAAATATTGATTAAAGTAAAAAATATATGCAGTGTATAACAAATTTTGTTCGATATTTCCGGAGTTACGGTTCATTTTTATACATACGTGTTTTTTCATTACTTGCTTGAAAAAATTTTAGGTTCGCATTCAGATGGATTAAAATAAATTTTGTACAATGCTATTGGGCGCAATATAAATTTACGCTTTATACAAGATTTCACCTTTAATTTCTAAAGTGTTTTTGTTGTATTGATGATACACATATACATACACATGTACGAGTAAGAGTCGATTTTCAACATTACTTCAGTATATAGTACAGGACATTTGACTGACCATACGTTGGATGTCGTACGATTGCAACGAGAAGCAGACCATCTTCTGACATTCTACTATTAAAGCAGCCTTCTGTTTGCTTACACATTTCGTAGGTAAGTAATGAGCTCGGTAACCGATAAACGCACTCTTTATTCATACCTTTTCCATCCCAGCTGTTAGACAATTTAGATTGTGTATTTATATACTTATAAATACATAGGATTTTATATGTTTCCATATATGTATATGCGAAAGTGTGCGTTCACATATGATAAATGTGTGCATGATGAATAATGAAAAGATGAGAGTAATTGTATAAATATAGAAATTAGTTAAAATGCACTTACATATGTATGTACATATTATAATACTCGAGCGTAAATGACAAATGAGATGAGAGTTCATGATTGAACGAAGTGTGAATAGATGAAAATATACAAGTTAGAGGCTAAATATATTGTACAGCTAAATACAAATTTATTTATGGCTGATAAAACTTTTTTTTTTTTGTTTTAGTTTTAGTTTTTTTGGTTACACAGAATATTTTTTGTAGAGATAAGGGAAATTAAACGCATACCAAAAACAGACGAAACAACACACACATGCCAAATGTTATATATCCTATGCATACAATGACATAAAATTTACATACTTAGATGCAGCAAAAAAAAAAAATCTGCATTATATGTATGTATATATGTACATACATACAAATGTAAAGATATTTATTGCTATGACGCGTATTTGCATACGAGTATGCAATAAAATTAGTATTTATGTTCTGTAAGGACGTACAACACACATCATAAAAGTAACTTCTCCACATGCTACATTTACATTTTTAACTTCAATTTCAGCATAATGATTTGTTATTTTACAATTAACTAAAGCCATTTGTCACTAAACCACAAATAAACCACTAAACCATAAATAAATTCAAATTTCAATCAATTGAAAGAAACATTACGAAGAAACCCAAAAATATAAAAGAAAAGTGTATAAAGCATTATCTTAAAGTAGTTATAATTATGTTTGCAGTATAATTTATATATATAATACAATGCATGGTTGCCCAAGAGGTTATCGGTTACAATAACACCTTCCAACGTTATATCAGCAGATATTTTTGAATTTCAGTCCAACACATTTTGGCTTCAAAGCCTTAAAGTGCCGTAGTGACACCTTAGCAGGCATTGAAAATAATAAATTGCAATTTAAGTAAAACCCTACTTGTTCTTCCCTTCGCTCGTTTGCAATGTGTCTTAAATTTATCAATTTACATTTCTTTCAAAGAATTTCGTGCTACTTGAAGTTAAACGCACTTTTTAGTCATTATTAGTCTACAATTTTAGGAAACAATGAACGAATGTCAAGCAACGTCATTGGACGATAAGAAAGAAGCAGTGTTTTGTAAAAACATTTCATAGTGAATAAAGCAAATGAAAAGAAAACTACTGAAAATTATAATTAATATACAAATAATTTTAATTTTTTTTTTGTTTTTGCTGACTTGACATCCGTTCATTTATCATAATAAGTAATATGTATGTTCGTGAATTTACGATAATACATATCGCTCCGTCCAGCAAATGGAAATTTCAGTTGCCGTGCAGCACACCCTCATCATACTACTCTCTATTGTTTGCTTAGGTTCCTTCAATGTTCACAGATTTTCATAAATTAAAACTTATATTTATATACCATTACGATTAGGTTTACACAATCATATTAATACCGTAATTATTCATTCAGTAAAACGTTTCTCAGCTTTTTGAAATAAATATTTACATACATATTTCATGGTCTTTGATTTCAGTTGTGATTCCATTCTTTATATAACATATTTTTTTAAGTATGCTATATATCAAGGTTCAAACACATCTGGTAATAAGGTAACATTGTCACTTTAGAACGATGTTTTACTTTACAGACATATTGCCGTTTTAATTTTATATGTATTCATTGGTTAACATTATTTTATTATCATGAATTTTATTAATATTTATAATTGTTATGAAGGATCTCAAAACATTCCAACAGTTCGCGAATAAAGTCAAGTAAAAACGCAAAACTAGATCTAATTTTTTAGTGTTTGTATATAATTAGTACAATGTAATTTGAATAAAATTGCGAAATACTAAAATGTTCTCAAATCCTTTTTCTATCAAATATCTTACTACTTTTTAGTTTTCTTTTTAATTTTTGCGGTTTCATTTTTTTTTTTTTTTTGTTTTGTTTTTTTTTTTGTTTTGTNTTTTTTTTTTTGTTTTGTATTAATGGTTGTTTTATCTTAACCTTTTTATGTATTCTAATATTATTTCTTTATTCATATTCATGTAGGTAGTCTCCATTGACTCACTATCCACTACTTCGCCTCATCATTTACGTTTGTACAAGACCGCGTATATCAGCAATATTGCTTGAATTTAAGCTCCCACCACCTCCTCCTACACTGTTGCTACCACTATCAATAAATAGTGTTGACGTGTCAATGCCAGACGTAGCATCTGGTGAATGCATCATGCCCATTTTGTTACACATAGCATCGGTATCAGCTAAGATCTCATCATCATCAGGAAATTCTCCTAAGAAATCAATATCGGAGCCAATGGTCTGTTGTAGACTCTTTAAATGCTTATCAGCCAATTCAAGAGCTCGCTCAACTTCTTCACGTTCTTCTTGATGTACTAAAAATATATATAAAAAAAAGATTTGCTTAACTTGACACCTAACCACTTTTAAGCCATAAACAACGAAGTAAAAAGAAAAAGATTGATAAAGAAACATTGCAAATTAAATTTCTTAAAGCAAAAATTAAGTTTCATGAGCTTTGCATTCGACTGACCGGCTAAGTGACGCGATAAACTTATTCTTGTTATGCTTACACGACGAAATATCCTCATTCAGCATTGATATTGTGAATTCGGTCTGGTGAATACATCCTCCCGCAACATGTAGCCTAGCGGACATATACTCGAGATAAATTAATTATATGCAGATAGTGATTTCGCTGTAATTCCGGGCCCATCATGGTATCATAGAGCTGGTTTTCGCGGAACGCTCTCGACATATATTTAAAAAATTTTGTACTTTGAAAAGGGTATATTAAGTCCGCCAAAAAATTTATTATTCAAATTACAGCATGGCATACCTATCGAAGTCTTTATTCTTTTGTCAGTAACAAAACTAAAAAGTTAAACCCTTATGTATATTAACAACCCGATACTCTTGGTTTTTTAAAACCAATATACAACAGTGTGATACAAAACGAAAGCGCCGAACCTTTTTAAATGTATAAAATTGTAAAGAAGGCACTAAATCACTTTTTTTATTCTTACATTCATTGTTCGTTTTAAGGTAGTAAAAAGTTAAACTTCCAAAATGCTGGTGCGACAAAACTAAAGCACAAAATTATTGAAAAATTTTGTCTTTCAATATTAGATTGTGCATCCCGTATTTTTTAATGCAGCTGCACATCAGCGGGCGTGAACTCAATAATTTTTTATTTATACCATGTGATTGTGCTGATCAGTTCAAAACCTCAATCCTCTAATAAACAAACCACAAATAGCAGTGTGTTTCGGATCATTGTCCATATGGAAGTTATTTCTTCTTCAGTTCAATAATGCCTCATTATTTTTTATTTTCCGAATGATTGAATTTAATTTTTATATATTATGGGATACGGGGTAAAAATTGGACGATGTGCATGGCACCGCCCATTTTTAGGTGACACCACATATCTCGGGATCGGATTTCGACTAAATTTAGTCCGGGGATTCTCTTCACATTCCTATGTCAGAGTGCAAAAATGGTCGATATCGTACTACAACCACGCCTATATAACACAATTTTAAGCTCCATTTGATTCATTCGCTTTTCATTATACAAATCAAGAAGCAATTAATATAACGGGATAAAATTTTGCACGCAAAATGCTTTTAGAGTAGGTGGCATACCACTAAACATCGCCCAAATCCAAACAAAAATGTTCAAGCCACTAGATACCGAATTTGTGGACCCCAGTATCTACAGTTGACTTTTGACATCGGTCATTGTATGGGATATGTAATTGAAATTCAGTAGGAATTTTTTCTTGATAATATTATATCTCTTTAGCGAAAATAGATTTAATCGGGTCAATACTTTCCTAATCCAACATACTTATTCCGGGTGATTATATCTTTTACTCATAAGATTATACCTTTGGACCTAAAATAGATAAAATTGGGCGAAAACTTGATATAGCCATATATAAAACCATATAATATCCAGGTGACTTTACTCTTTACTCAATATATATACTATATAATTAGTGATTGTATATGAGGAATGTTGCTGTATGTATGATTTTATTTCAAATAAAATGAATGCAAATTCAACGAAGAATTGTAAAGTTTTGTAATAACAAATAGTAAAATGTTGATCAGTCACTGATCGGGTAAAAGCAAGAAGTTGAGTTACCGTTAACCAACGCTTGCCGGACAAATTTATTTTATTTTTACTGATATTCGATAAAAATAACTCCATCCTGGCTATATGAAATGTTCATAGTAAAATATGCAATGTTATTTGCGCCTTGTGTATATACTAAGTAATTAAAAAAGCAGAAAACTCAGCATTATCTAAACTAGAGTTTTTTAACAATTGTTGATTTACCTGCTGTAAATAGCTCATTGAATGCATCCTCTGGTAGGGCACTAAGAACATTTGCTAGATCATGTTCCTCTAACAAGCGTGTATCTCCCAACGGTATGTCGTCTGCGCAAAAATGTTGAACACGAAATATTGCTAACTATTTTCATAGAATTCCTATACAATTTGACTCACCTGCATCATTGGGACCCACCATCAGCTCAGTCTCACTCAGTCCGCCTAAACCGGTATCCTCAGAACTGGCATAGGCTGAACTGTTTTCACAAACACTTAGCAATTCTTGACGGAACAATTCCTCTGTTGACGAGGGCAATGATGATGATGAGCCCAGCGCCGATGTGAAGTTGGAGTCACAATTTGAGCTCAAGTAATTATAAGTGTTGTTTATACTGCTGTTGCTATATGCAGTGAGACTGTTGCTATTTTCATTATTATTGTTGTTGTTACTAACTGCAACAGAGAACTGTGCAACCAGTTGGTTAATTTCATGTGGCTTCAAATTTTGAGCCATAATATTTTCGGTGCCTCCCAAAGTTGCAACGCTATCGCGGCTGCTTGTGCTGAAGTTAAGCATACGTTTTGGCGCCGAACCCACCGTCAAAGTGTTGCTAACGATCGGCGCATTGTGTCCGCTGAGCGGTGCCAATGCGGGCATAGCTATTTGGGTTTGATTTTTAACACTTATGTTCGAAGAAATATAATGCGGCTGGGAATTGGAGGATTGCGAATTACTTGCAATCGATTCCAGTGAGGTGGTGCTACCCTTTCGCTGCAACACTGCTGAAGTCAATTGCATTGGAGCTATTGTTGCAGACACAACAGGTCCAGATGGCGCTCCGTTAGCTCCTATTTTACGCGGACGCTTTTGTGGCCGACCGACCGTATTGGACCCCGGTGTATTGGGAGCTTTGCGTTTACGCGTGGTTGTCGCTTTCATATTGACACATTTCTTGTTCTTGCCAACTGTAGCAGTGCTATGTAGGTTAGGCTGCATATGTGTCTGCTGCTGTCGCTGCTGCTGTTTATGCTGATGCTGAATTTGTTGAAGTTGTCGCAACAAATCACCGGCATCACAGTCCAGAGAAGATTGAGTCATTGCAGTAGCTACAGTTGCCGTGGTCAATTTGTGACTCCCAACTCGCTGTTGTTCATGTACGACACGATTATAGGCATCACGCTTGCGCGCATGCTCTACACAAAGTGGCAGGTCATGCATTATATCAAATACGGGAATTCGGCATTGGGTGTTGTCGGCGAATTTCGCCGTACACGGCAAGAAGATATGCTGCGAGATATTGTCCACAATGTGATCTTCACATTGGGCTGCAATTTCAAGAACACCTTTACAACAACCAACGGAGTTACAATTCTTTGGAGTGATTATGCTGAAAGGTTAGATCCAAAGTAAAATTAGACAATTTATCGTACTGAAATGATATTTGATTACAAATAAAAAATAATGCAACATGTGCACACTTACTCATCTCCACCATGACGGGCGTACTTTCTCAATAAGCGATCGACACACATCAATCGGCGTTTTGCTGCCTGCATCGGCAATTTTTGCAAGGATTGAGTGGAGAGGAGCTGCATCGCTTGACGCCGCAAAAGCATCTTTCGATGAGAAATTTGGGACTCTCGATCACTTGCCACCTGCAAAATCGCTTCGAAACTGCCAACACCTTTACCAGTTGCAGTAGCAATCACACCAACGCCTTCCACTAACTCTATATCGCGGGTAATAAACAACCAATGTTTTTGGATGCAGTATGGCAGCACTACATTAGAGGCCAACAAAGTTGTATCTGCTTCAATTTCGGCACTAGACATCTTTACTACTGCCACAGCATGGCAATTCCGATTCTTTTGCGGATTAGTGTTGCTTTCTAGCGAATCATTAGCACTTACCACCATTTGGTTATCATATGTTCGAAACAACGGTCCCAATTTGCGGCTACGCTTTTTTGCATATTGTGGCAAATAGTTTTTGTTTTTCCCCAAAGCCGTTGCCGTTGCAGATGTTTTTCGTTTGGATGCATTTTTGGCAGTAGCCGACGGAGTTTTGACTACAGCGTTTACATTCTGTGCATCCGTTACCTTTTGCGGAGTTTTCCCTTCGTCACCAGCGTTTTTACCACCTTCTCCTGGCTTACATGCAAGTTGAGCAGAGGTTGTAGTATCATATTTCAGCTGTTGTGCCGATGTTGGAGGTGATGGTTTTGCCATGGAAGACATATTTTGCGGCTGTTTATGTATAGCGACAGGTGGTTGGAGATGAGGTTTGTTGTATATGGGGGCAGGTAGCCTCGAAGTATCTTCGCGCGACGCAATTTGCGCTGGTACGGTGTGCGTGAAAACAATGTCGCGTAACACATGTGGAAAAGGCTGTAGAGTTGACGGCGGCAGAATTACAGTTTCAGCGGCCGTAACAGCTGTAGATATTGATTTAGGTTTTGCCTTAGTTGAGCTCGTTTTGTTTATTATTTCAATTGCTGAGCCCCTTCTATTCACCGTTGTGTTGTCGACACCGCTACTTCTGGAACTTACAGTATTGGTCATAGCGTTCGCATTTACAGTGCCACCGAGTTGTGAGTGATGCATTTCACTCGTTTGCGGCTTGCGAAATATAACATTTACTGGAATCTCATTCAAATCGGAATCGGAATGTTGAGGTGGTGTAACCGCCTGAATTGCCTGCAATGGAGGCGGTGCAGAGGGCATAACCACAGGCGACTTGTTGTGTATTTGCGTCTGCGACTGAGACTGTTGAGCCGCATGTGCATGCAAGATTGCCGCCGTCGGTTGAACAATAACAGTTTTGGCGCCTATACCACTTAATTGTTGATTCTGCTGCTGTGACAACAAGGGTGTACGGTGCTGCTTCAATGGTGTGTCCTGCTCCTGAATATTTTGTTGCACTTGAAACTGTTTTATAGGCTTACCGTTATGAACATTGCCCCCAGAAATGGGTTTCTTTGGCTTCTTAATGCATTCTAATTTTTGCAAATGCTGTGCCAGTGTATTGTGATGAAATTTAGATGGTGGCAATGTTGTCGCTGATACTGTAATCAGAGGGCTAACCATAGCTGTAGCTGCAGCAATCGGTAATGTTACCGAGGTAGGTGTTGGTGTAACCGCAACCGGCGGAGAGGGCAACGAAGCGGGTGATGTCGGTGGGCTAACCACCGCCGACCCCGTATCCAATAGCAATGGCGTTTGCCATAGAGAGGGAGTGTGCTGAAATAGGGGCGGTGGCGATGAGGCTTGCTTCCGCTGCTGCTGTACTTTATAATTATGTTGTTGTCGCACAGCCTGTGCCAATTGTTGCTGCTGTTGCGGTCGCACTATGCACACATTCAAAGCTTTCTTATGCTGCTGAATCTGCTTCTGAGATTGCAAATTTGTTGTCTTCACAGTTGAAGGTGAAACCGTTTTTGTCGCGACCGCTGCTGAAGGCCCATTGTGGCCCGTTGCAGCAGCCAACGTCGATGCCGCCTGCGTTTTTGTATTATTGCCATTCAAGGGTCCCAATGGTAATTTCTGATTGAATTTCGATTTTGCGTTGGTTGTAACTGTTGGTATTTGTCGTTTGTTGGTGACTGGTGAGGCGAATGCTAATGCCGCCGGCGTTGGTGTTTCTATGGTTGGAGCTGCTGCACTTACGGCTGGTATTGGGGATAAACTTTGTATTGGGGTTGGAGTAGTTGTTATTGCGTGAGCGTCTATGTATACCTTGCTTCGCGATTTCTACACATATATCGAAAACATATTCAATTACCGATAAATGCGATTCTATAAAAAAAATTATTGGGAGCTATAAGCACCTGAGCGTTAAATAAAATGGGTGGCGTAGTTGGCACTGTTTCTGTGAACACATACGGGTCCTGATCTTCAGATAAAACTGACGTTGCTGTTGTATTGAATCGTGATACGTGCTGACATGACATGTCCAAAACGACGGAGTCTCCAATATATATTTCCGCTTGGTCAAGAATAATCGCAGTTGCCTTTCCTACTTTAGTGTATGCAGTTTATTTTTATTAGATAAATACCTCTGCTACGTTTTGCAATTTAAGTATTTTGTGCAATAAGCATATATACAAATGTACATCTACCTAAAACCAAATAGGAAAGAAATACTTTAGAAAACTTGATTAAATAATATTTTTTAATTTAAATTCCAGTTTATTCACTACTTTCTAAATTTTGCTGACTCTTTCAATATGACTTTTAATATGGAATATATTGTACGTATACACATAACCTAAATATTGATCGTGCGCTGATTCAAACTACTTCAGTGTCAATTACTGCGCATACCGACGTAGTTCCGGTAAAAACAATAATGAACTACAATTTATTATTAAAATAAATTTGAAATATACAAAAATTATTATATTTCGAATAAGAAATAGAAGTTCTCTTTGAGCGCAGTAAATTTGGTCTGAAACGAAAAAAAAAAAATTCTCTTCAGCAGAGATTTTCTTGATTCGTAAACACAAAAATAATAGCACAATCTGCGAGCTCTTCTCGGAAAGCTTCGTTCAGTTTCAGTAGAATATGTAGTGAATAGAGAATTGAACTTATTTAAAAATTATTACGTAAATAGAATACATTTAACATAAATTATTGAAATCAGTTTTTATTTTTATTCAAAATAAGAGCATCGCCATAATTTCTCACGTTAGTATATATCTTGACTTCCACAATTTATAACGGTAAACTGATGCCATTATTATGCTTACTTTATTGATTTTACTCCTTACGATCACATTTGATTTGATTAATTGGCAGCAATGGAAGAAAACATTGTTTTAACTGAAGCAGTTAAATATACTCAAAATATTCAAAAGGGGAAAAAAGTTTCATTGTACTCTGGAAAAAAGTATAATGATTTTTGAACCATACAATAAAAACAGGAATCAAACTCAGATTGACAAAATTATGATTTGTTCGGCGAAAATGGTATATCTATAACGCCACAAATTTTGATAAAGGTGGTCATAATTTGCTGAAAAATAAAAAAATCCGCAGCTTTTGCACGTAAAGTATCGGAACATGCTTATAGACCATTGTCAGAAAAAGTAAGACTGATCCTTTTAAATATTCCCGACAGATTATGGCTGAGATTGAGGCTGAAGTAGAGTCTAGCGTCTCAGAGTGACTTGTACGAAAGCTTCTCAATGATGCTCGGTTGTTTGGCCGAAAGAGTCAAAAACTGACAATTGGTGTCCAAAAGAAACGTAGAAACACGGCTGAACTTTACCAAGGAACATTAAAAATGACGTTAACTTTTGAAAAAAAAAGTACTTGTGAGCAATGAAACAAAGTTGAATCGCATTGGATCCAATGCCAAACTAATTGTCAATCGTCGCATGTGTCAAGCATATATCTCCAGATACACCACTAAAACCGTTAAGCACAGCGGTGGCAGCGTGATGGTCTGGGGAGCGTTTTCCACATATGACATTGGAATATTTGAGAAGATAGATGATATAAATTGACCAATTTTCATACCTCAACATTCTCAAAAATACTATGGAACCATTCGCATTCGAATTGATGCTTGCGAATTAAATTTGACAGTGATCCTAAGCACGCTGCTAAAAATGTGAAGAATTGCTCACTGCAGAAAATATTGACATCCTGAGCAGAACAACGCCAATTCCCGACGTAAAACCCATTGAATATTTATGTAGTGATGATAAGATTCAAATTGTTAAAGGAAGAGTTCAAAATACTGAAGAATTTTGGACTGGGATCAAGGATTCATGGTACGCAAAGTAGGAACCAGAAGGTAGTGGACAGTTTGTTCCGACGATATTAAGCAATTTCGAAAAATTATTGACACATTTCAACTAACATTGTGAGTGTTAAAAGCAGTTACACTTAAAACAGTTCTAATAAAATTATTTTAAATTATAAGCACATATGGGAGCACCTGGACATACAAATTAGAAAAATGATAATCAGCAGGAAGTATATAATCAAAGATGTTATTGCAGAAGAATGACAAAAGCACACAAAGTACCAAAAATAAGTTTCCAATACTTATTGTTATTCTGTTCCTTTTGACGCTAGAAATATGGAGTATTAAATACCATATAAATTGATACATTATATTCATATATCTATATACTACATACAATATATAAAAATATATTTATTCAATGTTTCATTCATGAATGTAGGCTTCCATATTAACAACAATCTATATAAGCAAACATATTGATATTGTATATTCCCAGCATTGAATCATGAAACTAGTATGGGGTAAAAACAAAAATAAAATGCTTACGAGATAATATTTGGACCAGTATAACGCAATAACTTGTATACAAAGAGATAACTGACAAAGTTGTCTTCGATTCGTCGAGCGTTGGAGGCAGGCGAATCGAAGAAACTGTACCAAATGCAAGCAGCACCTTTCTCTGATGAAAACACGCTTCCCTCCGCGTCAAAAACGTTAACTAACTCCTTACGTTTGTTGTTCAGAATTAAGCATAGAATATTTCTCACATACACGATTTTATATGCAAAAAAATTGGCCCGCTCTAAAGCCCCAAGGAGGTATTCCTTAGTTGACGTTTACAGGGAGACTCCTTTGTCGCTCATTATCGGCGAATTCTCTTTTGGTGTCCCTCTGTGCCTTCACCCGAGTCCAGCAACACCAATAATTTTCCCGTCTTACTTTGCACAAAATTTTCATAAATGTTGCATAATTTATTTTTATGTTGGTCTCAAATTTTGCTTAAAAGGAATTACCGTGAATGTGCTAGAAGATTATGTATGTATAATACCCACTATTAATATTTTCAAGTATAAATTTATGTCGCGAATTTCATACTCTTTTAGGAATAAGCCTTCAATTTTGTTACTCTAAGTTTTTTCTATTCTTTATAAAATATTCATAAAAAAATAACATTTATTGTTTTAAATAATATGATATTCGAACTAAATCCTTTGCGTTTAAAAAAATAAAATAAAAAGGAAAGCGTCTTAAGATGTTTAAATAAATTTAAAGGCGTAGAAGTAACTCCGTTTTTATTAAAATTATTTTTTAAATTATTACATTTAATACTTACAGAAACGCACATGAGTTTTGGCTTAGCAACCATTTGGCGTTTTACGGCTATTTTAAAAGCAAACTAATAGGTTATTTAGTGTAAACTTACATATTTTTCCCCAGTTAAATCCTTTTATTAACTACCACATATACTCATCTTTTTATAACAATTAATTTTGAATTGACATTAATAAAATATAAGCAATTTCTTTGACACAAAAGCAAAGGCACACTCAGTAAATTATAAAGAAAACAACATTTAAATATTAAATTAATATTTGGTGTAGTCCATTCTGATTGATAGTAAAAACAAGAAAAAAAGTTAACTTCGGTTGCACTGAAGCTAAATACCTTCACAGGTACATTTCTGTTAGTAACTATGTGTTCAGTTTGTATGGAAGCTATATGCTATAGTAATCAATTACCCGCCTGAAGAACAACAAAGTGGCAGGGGCCAATGGATTGCCGGCCGAGCTATTCAAACACGGCGGCGAAGAACTGATAAGCAGCATGCATCAGCTTCTTTGTAAAATATGGTCGGACGAAAGCATGCCCAACGACTGGAATTTAAGTGTGCTATGCCCAATCCTCAAAAAAGGAGAGCCCACAATCTGCGCCAACTACCGTGGGATAAGCCTCCTCAACATTGCATATAAGGTTCTATCGAGCGTATTGTGTGAAAGATTAAAGCCCACCTGATTGGACCTTATCGGCGTGGCTTTAGACCTGGCAAATCAACAACCGACCAGATATTGACCATGCGGCAAATCTTGAAAAAGACCCGTGAAAGGAGAATCGACACTCACCACCATTTTAAAGCTGCTTTCGACAGCACGAAAAGGAGCTGCCTTTATGCCACGATGTCTGAATTTGGTATCCCTGCAAAACTTATACGGATGTGTAAGCCGTCAGAATCGGGAAGGACCTCTCCGAGCCGTTCGATCCCAAACGAGGTTTCAGACAAGGCGATYCCTTATCGTGCGACTTTTTCAACCTGCTTCTGCAGAAAATAGTTCGAGCTGCAGAACTAAATAGAGAAGGTACCATCTTCTATAAGAGTGTACAGCTGCTGGCGTATGAAGATGATATTGATATCATCGGCCTCAACACCCGTGCCGTTAGTTCTGCTTAAGGAAGAATGGGTCTGGCAGTGAAACGGGGGCAAGACGAAATATCTCTTGTCATCAAACAAACAGTCGTCGCACTCGCGACTTGGCACTCACGTCACTGTTGACAGTCATCGCTTTGAAGTTGTAGATAATTTCGTCTATCTTGGAACCAGCACCACCAACACCACCAACAATGTCAGCCTAGAAATCCAACGCAGGATAACTCTTGCCACCAGGTGCTACTTCGGACTGAGTAGGCAAAACCAAACTCTATAAGTCAATCATAATTCCCGTCCTGCTATATGGTGCAGAGGCTTGGACGATGTCAACGGATGAGTCGACGTTGCGAGTTTTCAAGAGAAAAGTTCTGCGAAAGATTTATGGTCCTTTGCGCTTTGGCCAAGACGAATATCGCATTCGATGGAACGATAAGCTGTACGAGATATACGACGACATTGACATAGTTGAGCGAATTAAAAGAATGGACGAAAACACTCCAGCTCTGAAAGTATTCGACGCTGTAGCCGCCGGGGGAAGCAGAGGAAGAGGAAGACCTCCACTCCGTTGGAAGGACCAAGTGGAGAAGGACCTGGCTTCATTTAGAATATTTAATTGGCGCCACGTAGCGAAAAAAAGAAACGACTGGCGCGCAGTTGTTAACTCGACTATAATCGCGTAAGCGGTGACTACGCCAATCAAGAGGAAGAAGAATCAATTTCGTATATGTACCGACAGACAGACAGACGGACATGGCTAAATCGACTCAGCTCGACATACTGATCATTTATATATATACTTTATCATTTATATATATACCTTCGGGGTGTTACAAACTTCGTGACAAACTTAATATACCCTGTTTAGGGTATAAAAATTCAAATTTCCGACCATATCGTTGATTTGAAACCGAGCAGTCCGCGTCTGAACTGGCTGCGTCTGA